GAGCCCGCCCTGAGCCAATCGCATCATAGCATCACTCTGGCCCTAAAGATGGCGATCGATAGACTACTTCCCAGGGACCGCGTTTTCGTCCCAGATCGTTTTGTGACGGCCCCGGGGCCCAGAAAGAACCCCCAGAGCCGAAAACGACTGACGATGTCCGTCTTGATTTTCCCAGTGCGTTGGATGTCTTCGATTTCAGGGTACTCCGAGATGCTCCATTAGCGTGGGGGAAGAGAAGGCCTGTCAGGGGCGCAGGGCGTGGGAGAGCTGGGTCGCGTGAGGTGGTGAGTTCGGCACGCGCGGGGGGGGCTGGAACAGGCCGTCAGGCGTGACGGCATGGGGCGGGTGCTGATTGAATCATCAGGAGCATCTCGTCTGAAAGAGGGCAATCTCCAGGGACCAGCGGCAGCTCGTCCATCCATGGCGTGAGTTCTCGACACGCCCGGCGCTGGCGCCCATGGGGGGCGCCGGCACCCTCCGCGCGGCGCTGGGCGGGGGCCTCGGCTGGACACCCCGATTTGCGTGTCGGCATCTTTCGGAGCCTCGGAGGAGGAGGAGGAGGAGGAGGAGGAGGACGAGGAGGAGGAGGAGGAGGAGGAGGAGGAGGAGGAGGAGGAGGAGGAGGAGGAGGGAGCAAGGGTGAGGAGTAGGGGGAGGGGCAAGGGAAGGGGGGGGGGAGAGGGAGAGGGGGAGGGAGGGAGGAAGAGAGGGAAGGAAGGAAGGAGGAGGAGGAGGAGGAGGAGGAGGAGGAGGAGAGGGAAAAGAAGGAGGAGGAGGAGGAGGAGGACCAGGGTCAACCAACGACCGATCAACAATGTTGTGATAAAGCCTCCATCCAAGTTCACTTGTTTATAGGTTGCTACAATACTGTATTGTTGATTTGTCATTGCGCAAAGTGCCCCACCGGAAGACAACCGTCTGAGAATCCTCAATCGTGCCAAGAAAACCTGGGATTTCAACGCCTCTGTGAGGGGGGGCAGGAGGGAGGGAGGGAAGAGGAGGAGGAGGAGGCGGACCAGAGTAGACCCAGGATGCGTCAACGATGCTGCGATACATTTTTCGCGCCCCAAGTCCCTCCTCATACGGTTCTACAAGTACTCCTCATTGCGGGAAGCACCCCTCTTGAATGACGAGCGCCGGGTGCGTCTACCATTCAGGCGAGACCATTTTTCAGAGGATGCAATGACCATCCTTCTAGCTGAAGAAAACCAGAGGAGGCAGGATGATAAAGTTCAAGGAGGTGCCCAGCGGTAGTCCCCGATTGTAAGTGTACTTATGTGTTGCACAAGCTCCAAATTATGGGCGACAGGTTCGCGGGAGTCTCGCGCCTCCTGAAAAGCTCTCTGTAGCTTCGGGGAAGTTTTAGACAGCTTCTTTGAAGCCTAGAGACCTCCCGAGCTTTCTGAGAAGGCCCGAACCATTTGCTTTACTCTCTTTGGCGCGCCGCCGATTGAAATGTGTAACACGAATGTGCTTGGCGTTGAGCCGAGAGCCGCGTTTTGAAAACCACCGGCCCTCCATCTTTATAGTTGATGGAAAATGTGCAAAACGAGTGCACGCGCGGCTGGGGCATTTTGAAAACGAAGCAGCTATCCCCCCTGTAACTGTCGGAATGTGCGAAAACAAATGCGAGCGGCGTGAGGGCGAGAGCCGCATGTTGAAAGCCCTCGGCCTTCCATCCGTGTAGCTGTTGGATTTGAATCCGTTTCAGGGTTGTAACTTGTAGCGATGTCTCAAGCGAAATGCCCAGCAGCCCAGCCTGAGTACAGACACGTCTAGCGGTTCGACAGGGGAGAGTTATTGATCAGGAAATAGGATGGTGGAGTTGAGTTTATGTGCGTGCTGCTCGTTGCCGGCTCTCACCACCACCTCAGGACGATGATGGCCCATCGCTCGTGGAGGGCCCTCCTCCACACGATAACGACACTGAGGGCTCGCTTACGCAACATAAGGACGCCGAGGACGTGAAGGCCGCTTTCGTTCTAGCACCCGTGTCTCATCGCGGCATGCATGGCCCATCCGCCAAGTCCCCGCGATAACATGGCAAAGGCCGACGTCTTGGGGGCTCGAAGCATGCAGCTGCTACCCCTCCTCCGAGAAACTGAACAGTGGAGGCCCATGCCAAGAAACACCCTGTTTGCCTCCAGGGTGCCCTGGGTTTCTTGGATTTCGATGATTTTCCTATGGCAAGCGTGACGTTCCCAGAAGAAAAATTGATGGACGTCCTGGGGTCTCAGGGTTGGGTTTCTTGTGGAAGGTTTCTTGTGGACTGGCCTCCACTCTACTGGTCGGCAGCGCCCGACCGAGCCTCTCAGGCAGAGTTCGATTGACATTTGTAGCTTCCATGTGCATTATGTGCAGCGCATGCCATGTCAGAATCAGAACGTCCTTGGAAAAAGTGTGCGCGCAAGCACAGTACCAGCTCTCGAAGCAGCCCGACGTGCAGAGCTCTGAAACGTAATCAACTTTGACACCTGGGGGGGGGCACCAACAAATCAGCCTGGCGAAGGACCCAACCATATGCAGTTGTGAGTACCGCAGTTGTGGGTATTGTCTTCGGTGGAGCTCCCTATGGGCCACGAAACGCTCCTCTGGGTGGGGGAGACACATGCGAACTTTGCCACTGGGGCCTTCGGTAGAGCAGCTCCCTATGGGCCACGACACGCTGTACTGGGTGGGGGGGACGCATACTGACTCTGCCACTGGGGCCCTCGGTGGAGCTCCCCATGGGGCCACGAAAAGTGTGAGGGGTGTGCCGAAATCGGTGGCGCGGACGCATGTGGACACCGCCATTGGGGCCTTCGGTGGAGCTCCCTGTGGGGTCACGAAACGTGCGAGGGGTGTGCCAGCATGGGTGCCGCGGACTCATGTGGCACCGCCACGGGGGCCTTTCGTGGAGCTCCCTATGGGGCCACGAAGCGTATGAGGGGCGTGCCGGCATGTGTGGCGCGGACGCATGTGGGCACCGCCAGTGGGGGCTTCGGTAGAGGTCCCTATGAAGCCCCGAAGCGTGTGAGGGGTGTGCCGAAATGAGTGGCGCGGACACGTGTGGGCACCGCCACTGGGGCTTTCGGTGGAGCTCCTTCTGGGGCCACGAAACGCTGTACTGGGTGTGGCGGACGCATGCGGGCCGTGGAGGAAGGAGGAGGAAGAGGAGGAGGAGAAGGAGGAGGAGGACGAGGAGGACGAGGAGGAGGACGAGGACGAGCAGGGTCCCCCTTTTCCGTGCCACCTTCGGCAAAAACCCTAGCATATGCCAGATGACAGATTGAGCAGCGATGGGGTTTGGGCGGCCCGATGCGGCGTAGCATTGCTGCTGCCGCCACCTGGCCTGGAGCCTCGCGTGTGGCGACCGCGGCGCACCGTGGTGCCGCAGGCGGATGCCGCCGCACCCTCAGGAGGAGGCGCCTCAGGAAGTTCGCGTGGGACAAGCTACGGAAACGGGGGCCAGATGAAGTACATGAGGATGCCGCTGCTGCTCTGCCTGCTGATGGCGATGTGGAGGTTTGCGTCGTTGCCCCATGTACCCCTGGCCCTGCAGAGGGACAGGCAGTTCAACGCCAAAGACACCGAGGTGGGACGGCTTCAGCGAGAAGATGCAGGACGAGCCAGCCCTTGCAGAGCAGACTGTCATCTGCCCCGAGGATTTGACCAACAAGCTGCAAGGGATCATGGCCGACTGGGTGTTCGACGGAGTTCAAGCTCGACAGGAGGCCGCATCGACAGTCGATGTGGTGGACCTTGAAGAGGCGATCTGCGAATTGCTTGATGACGTACTGGAGGCTTGGGAGGAAGTGGACATCCTAAGGCGGAGGGGCACAGAGATTCGTGCGGGCGTGAAGATGCCCAAGGAGAAGTTGGGTACGTTCTAGCAGGAGCTGCGCCGCAACCCGCGCGGGCCGCCAGCAGGCGAGAGGCTGGCGATTTAGGAAGGGATCAGATTCGTGTCCTCCCCCGCTCGGGGGGGTAGGCTTGGAAGGGTGGACTGCCCCGCTCCTCCTGGCTTGTCCTCCCCCGGCCGCCTTCTGGCGGCGTTCCGCCCTCGTGCGGCTTTCGGCCCTTGCGGGGCCAAACACGAGGCAAAACCCTTTTCTGGATAGCCGAGCTCTATAGGAGTAGAGTTGCCCAGCGCCGTCGTGTGTTCGGATCGGATTCTTGGCGCGAATGGGGTCGTAGTAGTAGGAGTAGTAGTAGTAGTAGTAGTAGTAGTAGTAGTAGTAGTAGTAGTAGTAGTAGTAGTAGTAGTAGTAGTAGTAGTAGTAGTAGTAGCAGTAGCAGTCGTAGCCGTAGTCGTAGTCGTAGTCGTAGTCGTAGTAGTAGTAGTAGTAGTAGTAGTAGTAGTAGTAGTAGTAGTAGTAGTAGTAGTAGTGTAGTAGTAGTAGTAGTAGTAGTAGTAGTAGTAGTGGTAGTGGTAGTAGTAGTAGTGTAGTAGTGTAGTAGTGGTAGTAGTGGTAGTGGTGGTGGTGGTAGTAGTAGTAGTAGTCAGTAGTAGTAGTAGTAGTAGTAGTAGTAGTAGTAGTAGTAGTAGTAGTAGTAGTAGTAGTGTAGTAGTAGTAGTAGTGTAGTAGTAGTAGTAGTAGTAGTAGTAGTAGTAGTAGTAGTAGTAGTAGTAGTAGTAGTAGTAGTAGTAGTAGTAGTAGTAGTAGTAGTAGTAGTAGTAGTAGTAGTAGTAGTAGTAGTAGTAGTAGTAGTAGTAGTAGTAGTAGTAGTAGTAGTAGTAGTAGTAGTAGTAGTAGTAGTAGTAGTAGTAGTAGTAGTAGTAGTAGTAGTAGTAGTAGTAGTAGTAGTAGTAGTAGTAGTAGTAGTAGTAGTAGTAGTAGTAGTAGTAGTAGTAGTAGTAGTAGTAGTAGTAGTAGTAGTAGTAGTAGTAGTAGTAGTAGTAGTAGTAGTAGTAGTAGTAGTAGTAGTAGTAGTAGTAGTAGTAGTAGTAGTAGTAGTAGTAGTAGTAGTAGTAGTAGTAGTAGTAGTAGTAGTAGTAGTAGTAGTAGTAGTAGTAGTAGTAGTAGTAGTAGTAGTAGTAGTAGTAGTAGTAGTAGTAGTAGTAGTAGTAGTAGTAAAAGTAAAAGTAAAAGTAAAAGTAAAAGTAAAAGTAACAGTAGTAAAAGTAGTAAAAGTAGTAAAAGTAGTACGGGGAGAGGCAGGAGAAAAAAGGAGCAGAAGAGGGGGGGGAGGAGGCTGATGATGATGATGATGAGGAGGAGGAGGAGGAGGAGAGGAGGAGGAGGAGGAGGAGGAGGAGGAGGAGGGAGGACGCGGGGATTATCTCTTGAAAACGAGGATGCAACACCACGCAACACCACATAATGGTTTGGAAAAAGAGGGATGGAGGAGGAGGACAAGGAGGGAGGAGGAAAAGGGGGAGGAAGAAGAGGTCTTGGAGGAGGAGGAGGAGGAGGAGGAGGAGGAGAGGATGAGGAGGAAGAGAATGAGGAGGAGGACGCGGAGGAAGGAGGGAGAAGGAAGGGAGGGAGGGATGGAGGGAGGGGGGGAGAGGGAGGGAGGAGGGTGAATCGAGGAGCATGGGGGGCCGGTGGCGTCGGGGAGAGCCGCCCCGAGACCCGCCGCTCGAGGGCCCGATTGGTCGCTCGTGTTCAAGGATGGCGATCCAGGATCGGAGCGGTCGGTCGATGGCCTGCCTCCTCGTCCTCCTCCTTCTCGTCTTCCTCCTCCTCCAGCGGTGGATGCGGTCTCGTGAGCAGTGCAGTTTTGGCGGCCGTTCACCAAGCGGCCCCTGACATCCGCAGGGCCACGAGCCCATGGACTCCATGCGCTGACCCTGCCCAGGCTGCCACGCTTTCGTCCGCACGCATTGATTGCAGGTTTTTACAGAGTTGACCACTTTACCGACCACCGAGGCCGGGAGGTGTACTTAACCTGTTTTCGCCTGGTATGCTGGCCCAAATTGCTAGGCAGGTAGCCTTCGCGGCTTCTGGTGTCATGGCTCTCCGTCGGAACAAGGCTCCGTGGGTTTCAGAGATCATCAATCCATTGGGGCCCACTGTTGGCGGAGTTGCAGCGTGCCAGTTCGGACGTTTTGCGCAAGAGGCACAAGAACGCGCTCAGATCTGTCGATTGTGGGGCCCACTGGTGCCAAGAGAATTTCTTCAAGGCGGGCAAGTCTTGCACCCCCCTTTTTGTAGGCAGTGCGGAGCCAAGGGATCTCTGGCATCGTGTTTTCGATTGTCTGTGCACCAATGTCATCAGGCGGAAGGGCTGCCCTATTGAGCTTCTCAGGGCTGCGAGAGCCGTGGACGCCCATGACAGTCAGTGCGCCGAGTTTTGTGCCAGAGGGATCTTGCCCTCACCCGAGCATCTTTCGGGCCAGGCCAGCGTGGATGAGGCCGACCAGTGCTGGTTCGTCTGCTGTGCGCCAGGCTGGCTCTTCGAAGGCGAGGTTTTCCTGGACGGTTCGGCTCTCCGCACTGTGTGCGGAGGCTAGCGCAGAGCCGGCTGGGCGCTTGCTTGCACCGAGGATGACGGCAGCTTCCGCTGCGCCATGTGAGCCGTCCCCCTGGCGTGGTCCCCTAGCTCGAGTTCCAGAGATGCCGAACATTGCGCGTTTCACATGTTGGCTTAGGTTTCTGTGCAGCCAGAGATGGACGGAACCCTGACTGCTGTTTTTTCGTGTTCTGATTGTTCCGGGTCGATAGGTTGCGCCACGAACCCCTCAACATTAGCATGGCGAATGATCCAACCACGTGCAGTTGTGAGTTTTGCAGTTGTGTGTATCGTCTTCGGTGGAGCTCCCTATGGGCCACGAAACGCTGTACTGTGTGGGGGAGAAGCATGCGAACTTTGCCACTGGTGTTTTCGGTTGAGCTCCCTATGGGCCACGACACGCTGTACTGGGTGGGGTGATGCAGCGAACTTTGTCATTGGGGCCTTCGGTTGAGCTCCCTATGGGGCCACGAAGCGCTTTACTGGGTGGGGGAGACGCATGCGGATTCTGCCACTGGGGCCTTCGGTGGAGCTCCCTGTGGGGCCACGAGACGCTGTACTGGGTGGGGGAGACGCATGCCGACTCTGCCACTGGGGCCTTCGGTGGAACTCCTTGTGGGCCACGAAACGTGTGAGAGGTGCGCCGAAATGGGTGGCGCGGACGCATGTGGACACCGCCATTGAGGCCTTCTGTGGAGCTCCTGATGGGGCCACGAAACGTGTGAGGGTTGCGCCGAAATGGGTGGGGCGGACGCATGTGGGCACCGCCACTGGGGCCTTCGGTGGAGTTCCTTATGGGGCCACGAACCGTGTGAGGTGTGTGCTGACATGGCTGGCGCAGTCGCATGTGGGCACCGCCACTGGGGCCTTCGGTGGAGCTCCCTATGGGGCCACGAAGCGTGTGAGGGGTGTGCCGAAACAAATACATGCGGAGGGCAGAGGCAAGGATGGGATTTTTTGGATTGCGCTGCTGATGAAGCGTATGGCCTGTCAGCTAATGGCGGCGCTGCAGCTAGCAGAGGCAGTCAGCACAGTCAACTCGTGTGGCTGTACTAAGAGGCGAAGCTCGCAAACTCTGCACGGGCACCTGAAGTCAAGTCAGACAGTAACTTCCTCCAACCAACCTGCCAAATCCCATGAATCCCACCCAGTCCCATAGTATTAACTACGCGCACAACTGGGTGCGGGGCAGCAATGTGGACGCAGAGCGTCTGGTACTAGGCGGCAAAGGATTGAAACTTTCAACCGTGGCCAGGAAGTGGCGGCGGCCAGGGTGGGCAATCCTGCACGGTTGCTCTCGGCGTAACCCTGGCAGCACCAGGACAACACGCTTCACAGAGATGCACTCGCTGACTTAACCCCTCCTCAAAACTACCAGCCACTCCCACTCCCATCCTTATCTGCAAGACAAAAGCAAGAAAGGTTGGTGGCAGGCGGGGGCTGCGGCGTGCAGCCGCATGAGCGCCTGGCTGGCGACGCGCGGACCGACGGACACTCGGGGGTTCGGTGCCACACGCAACGGGTGTGTGGTTAGCGACGGACTACGCTCACCGAGCCCCCTGCCGCTGCCCCCCACGGGCCAAGGCTTGAAGCTTGACAGTCGGGCGGTGACGGAAACGCGAGGGGGCGCACCTCTGTCCAGGTTGACGGTGGAGAGAGAGCAGGCGAGCGGGCGGCAAGCAGGCGGCGGCGGCGGAAAGAAGCAAGAGAGGCAGGCACATGCCTCTCTGAACTCAGCACGTCCGCCCAACCTGACATACCCCTCCCCCTCCCGAATACATGTTGCGATCTCCTCGACCGCTGTCAGCTCTCAAAACAGCTGCACTCAACGACTTTACCTCTGCGAGCGCCGCTGTGGGGCGGGGGCTTCGCGAGTTCCTTTCGGAGCGCCCACTATGGCCCCCTCCCCTCACGGTTCGACCCTCGGTTCGGCCGACCACGCTGACGCTCGAGCTGGCGACAGTTGCGCACGTCAGCTGCTTTCAGTGAAACCTGTTACGCACGGTCTGAAATTTATTCTCAGGGCGAGAGTGGGCAAGAGGGCGGGACAGCACATGCAGGCAGGCGTGCACACAAGAGAGCAAGAGAGGCGGGCTGCCGCTCTCTCTGACTGTTGCTACACTGCCTCGCTGCTAAAACCTCCGCTGCCCGACCTACCAACCCCATCACCCAATGTTCCCTCCATACTACAAAAATCACTTGAAACTGCTGCAATCGGATACTCCTGGAAACTGAAGGTGGCCGACAGACACACATCCATGGTCCAAGAGAGGCTGTCTGCAGCAAAGCTGATCCACACGAAAGTTAGGCCTACTGTGGCGCAACTCTGGAGGTCAGACGGCTATGGAACGCAAGCTCATTCAGCGGACGTGATTCCAGCTCAGCTCGAAACTGACGGATGAGCTGGGGGTTATCTGTATACCACCACGGTGCT